TTGCGAGGGGACAAGGGCCATCCTGGCACTGGGACCCGGGGCAGGCTGGCACTGCCACTCCAGGAGCTCAGGAAAGGCTGCATCAGCCCTCTCCTCCCACTCCACAGCATCCCAGCACTGCCACAAGCAGCAAGGTGGGGATAGCTGCTCATGACAACACCTCTCATTGTTTTTCTCTTTCTGCTCTTTCCACTCTGCTTTACTCCTGATTTATTTTAAGCTGTTTCTCTCTCTTTGTATTATTTTTACTTTTCCTTTTGCTCCTCTCCTTTCCTCTCACCCCTTCCCTCTCCACCATCATTTGCCTTCTGTCTCACCATCCCGTTCTTGCTCTCTCCCTCTTCTTCCCCTCCCATCAAAGCGAGGAAACTGTAACCCAAAGGAAGAACAAGAGTTGAACCTGTGCCAACACAATGGGCCAAGAGGCTACATATGGAACCAGCAAATCACAGAGCCATGAAGGATGTTAGTGATTTAAAGTTATGTATATTGAAGTCTGGATCTTAAAATGAATCCATAATAGTAGAGGTAACTAATGGAGAGACTTAACTGACAGCAAGCAGAGTTTTTTTCTTTAACATTGTTATGTTCCCACAAACTCCTCTTTTCCTGTCCCCACCCTTCCCCTGTTCCCCTTTCTGATTAGTTCAACATCCACGCTGACAATGAAAAGCTAAAGCTGCTGCTTTATGAATAAAGATTTTACCCTGTGCACCATAAATATGAGTGCTGGTTGCAGAGCTCCAGCACTGGCTCCAGCATCTGTGGGGCTCTCCCTGGGGAATCATGCCAGTGGCAAGGGATGGGGAATATTCCCAGCAGAGCAGACAGGCAAAACAACTCTGGCTGTGGTGTGATAAATAACCTTCTAAACACTTGTGATGCAGCAGAGACGTGGTGCCAAAGCCATCTGGTCCTGTGGTGGCTCAAATCCCAGCTGCACTGATTTTCTGGCATCATTAAGGATGGTAAGGGAAAACCCAGAGTTAAAAAGCTGCCCAGAGGGAAGGATGTCACTGTAAATGTGTGCATCTGCATGTAAAGATAGGTGTGCATAAGTGTACAAAACATTATACGAAGCAAAACTACAGTAAAACATTACTATAATTGCAAAGTCACTCCAGAGTCAGGAAAGATCAAATATTGCTCATCTGCCCCAAATTTGCTACTTTTTATATGCACTGGGACCTGAGGCAGCTGCTGAGGGGCAGGAGCTTCTGAGCAGTCACAGCTGCACTTGGAACCATAACCCAAATACCTGCCTTTACTACTTAGTGGATATATGTATATACATTTATAATTTTTATATATAAATATATAAATACATGTGTATCTTGGCTCAGGCCATCCAGTAACCTCCCAAACTAACCTTTGAAATCAGCTGGAAGCTCATGTGTCCAGGGGGTGTTTCTAACAAGCATTTGCAGGCAGCTATTCAGTTGAGGAGGGTAAACCAGCATGGACAGGAGCCAGTTCATGCCAGTTTGTCCCAGAGGTTGGGAGTGATCCCAATAAATTGAGTTTATTGGTACAGCAGCTCCTGAAATCACAGCACAGTGCAAAAATCACATATTTAATAGGTGAAATGGAGCATCTGAAGTGAAAATTCATCTCTTAAGTTTTGAGTCTTGGTTCCGGTGCTGTGAAACATCATCCTGTGCCCCTTGGGGACAAGAAGTGATCTGATGTGTGTTTGTGAAGCAGTCACAAACACTGCTGCAGAAAGCACATGATGCAATGACATGATGTTTTAAAGAGTTTCCTAACAGTCTGAGCAATAAGGAATAAGGAAGGCCCAGCACCACTCTGTGCCAAGAAAACAAATTGCATCACCCGTTCAGGGCACCGGCGGGGCAGGAGCTGTGCAGGATGTGGTGCATGAGCTGATGAAAGCTGGTACCACAACCCGTCCACACCAGGACTTGGATGAGGATTACACAAGCGACCTGAGCTCCTGCAGGTTCTTCAAAGTCCTTCCCTTGGCACCAATAATGTTCTTTAATGTTGTTTTAACAAAGGGTTGAGGGAAGGGGGACTTCTTGCAATAAATTCCTTCTCACATTTCCCAATGAATGTACTTCCATCCAGCTTTGCCCAAAACCTGTGGCTTTCAGTGCAAGAGAACCAGAAGAAATCCCCTCTATTATCTCTGCTCTAAAATTCAGGAGCATAAGGGTTACAAGGCTTTATGCAATTAAAAAAACACCCTTTCTTCTTTTTTTTGGCACTTTAGACTTTTCAAACTGCTGCGCCTTCTTCCCTATGGCATTAAATTCCCCTTTGCATTCTGCAATGCTGATTTAGGGGGAAACTCAAACAGATTAAAGTCCCTGGGGTGTACACACAACACCCAAGAGAGAAGGGCTGTGTTTTCCTCTAGCTGCTGAACAACAGGGCGGGTTGGAAATTCACCACCAGCCGCTGGTATGGCCGTGCTGGGCTCTGGGATGGTGGAGGAGCCAGTTCCAGTCCTGCTGAGGAGTGACCAGACTGCGGGTTTTCCTTTTCCTCCTGGCTCCTCCAGAGAAAGGCTAGATCCCATCAGCAGTGGCTGAATATTGGACAGATAATGGGGCATGTGGGTATAGCCTATATTTATTTTTCTAAAGTATATATTTGTTTGATGTTTTGCAAGCATCTGCTTAAGATTTCTGTGCTTATCTAATGGGAGGAAAGAGGCCATTCTTCCCAAAGCCTATTCAGTGCAAGAAAATGTCATAACACTGCTGGGCCCCTTCGTTTCATCCTTCGCCAGAGGGACTCCATAGCTCCTCGCTGCTCCTTGGAAAGCCAAGAAGTGAAGGCTGGCAATTAAAGGCATCTGCTGGGCTCATGAAAGGAAAGGCATGCATGAAATATGAAGGATGGATGACACCTGAAATGTCTAAACTCTTGTCTGGCGCAGACTGGACTGATTGCAGCATGTTGAGCAGGACGTGTGGAGTGTTATGTCAGGTATTCAGATAAAAAAGAAAACCCAAACTAAACCCTCCTTAACAAAGCTTCCCCCTACCCCATTGCTGAAGGAAGATGTGCCAGCAGCTCTGTGGAGCCCATCAAGGGCTCTATTTTATACATGGCAAGCAGGGAGAGAGCACTACAAATCCCTGTCAGAGAGAGCGATTACCTGGGTAGAAGTGAATTTTCAGAGACTGAATGACCAAAAAAAGGACCAGCAGCAGTGAGACACTGCTGTAGAAAGGGTTTGGCTTTGCTCAGAGCAAATGCATAAGGAATGATAAAATAAAGACAGGAGAAGTGATAAGTGATCCAGGTTGTTACTCACCCCATTTTTCATCATTCAGATCTGCAATCACAATCACTTATGCTCAGAAGCCACTTATTTTACACAGCACCTAATGGATCTGATGCACACAGTTTTACTAGAAGTCAAACATCACTTAGACCAGTGTCCAGAGAGCCTGAAACCAGTGTTAGGTTTGTTTGTACAATGAGAGGGGACAGAGCTGTAGGGAATAATTTTTAATTAAATAAACACAAAAAAAGCCACCAATGTTGAACATTTTTTGTGTATGGTCAGTAGGTCAAACCTCAAGGGTTGGGGTTCCTGGCAGCCCCCTGTGAATTATTGGATACTGACCCCTGTCAGAGATGGTCATCAGGATGGAGCAGTCTCATACCTGTGGTTCTGGCATGACAGTGACAGGATGGAGCTGTGCAAGGTGTGTGTTTCTATGACAAAATGCACAGCAGTGTTCCCCATCAGCCACAGCAGTGCATAGCAACCCTCAGCAGCTGAGTCACTGAACAGCAAAGCTGAACTTCCATTCAGGACTGGCTACAAATTAAGCAAAAAAAAGGTGTTTATTAATTCTTTGATACGTCTGATGGTGAATTTTTCAGATTCCCTGGTTTTCTTTTATGCTTCCATGACAGGAGAGAAAGGGAAAGATCACATCTGCTATGAAGGTGCACCTGGGTGTTTACACATTTAGGACTTCACCCAAAATCAATCAACCAAGGCCTTGGATTAGTACAGTGTTGGAAAAGTGAAATGGTATTTCAGCACTAGTTTGAGCAGAAACATTAGGCTGGCACTTACCACCTTGGGTCTGGAGAATTTGAAACAAATGCCCATTTTTATATCACACACAACATCAAAAGAGATATATATGGTACCAGAGCAATACAGGACTAGAGAGATATGACCAATTGGGTACAATCTTTGGGACCAGAAGAGAAGTTGATATGTAAATTAAGAGAAATCCTGCTTGTTCCCCTCCAGCTGCAGCTGTTGGATGATGAATTCTTGTTTCATATGGAATGTGATTTCCTGTCATTTGCTATGAGAGGGATTCTGAGCTTCTGTATCTAAAGCACCTCTGGAGCTGGTTTGCTTCAGGGAAGATAAATTCAAAGTTCTGAGCTGGAATTCAATTTAAAATACTTCACATTTGTGTACTGTAATCCCAGAAAGGACATCCTGGAGCCAAAGTACTCAGCCCTCCTGTGGCTGTGTCTAATCTCTCACAGCAGAAACAATATAAGAAATGAGGCAAATGGAAACCTACTTCCTCATGGACTTCCTCTCAGCCCTGCTACTTCTGGACTTCTTGACTCGGACAGTGCTTCCAAAGTTTCGTGTTTCACAGCACTTATGGATCTATTCTTCAGGAAGTTGAGCCCCATATTAATTTTGATCTGTACAGCATCATCCAGTAAAGGGCTCCACAGTTTAATTACACATTGTGTAAAAAGGCTTTTCTTTCTGATTTCTTTAAACTTGTGCTTGATTATTTCATTAGGAATGCACAACCTCTGATATGAGAAATAGTGAATGGTTACACCCCATTTCACCCCCTCCATTATTTTATAGATGTGATTACAACCCCACAAGTTCTCATATCCCTATCTTAGAGCAAAGGATGAGTATAGCTGTATTCAAGCTCTGGGCGCACTTGGTTTTTTTGCAGGCAAAGAAAAGTTGCCTGTTTAAAAATAAAAACCCAACAAAATTAAACAAAGGTCCAGCAATAACCCAATGAGAAAATAAACCACTTTAATTCAAATTAAAAGGTGTTAATCACACTTGGAATATAATTATAAACAGCTCCAATTCAGGAAGGTGGGTTTCTTCATTTAACACATACTCATTTGAAGGATGCAAGAGATATATTTGCTTATCTATTCAAAAGCTTAAAATAAAACAATGAGCAGATACTTTTTCTGTTTAAAAATTAAATTTAACTCTTTCTTCAATAATAAAATATACTACCTATTATACAAAAAGGACATTATTTTATTCACAGTTGACAGAGTACAGTCTCACAATCATAATATTAAAGGTAAACTGCAATGACATATTAATTATATTTTTCCTATTATTACAGATTATGAGGGTAGAACAGCCCACAAAGGCTCTAATCAGGGTCCTGTCATGTAAAGAGCTGCACATGCAGAGAACAAATACATAGTTCCTACTCCAAAAGGTTGCAATCTAATCTAAAATTGCACATTAAGAAGAATCTTCCTTGGCTGAAAAACACAAGTACACAAAGGGATTCAGGCTTGCTTTCTTATCTGATGGTGCCCTCTGGATACACAGTTACTTTTCACTGTCAGAAACTATAAAATAGTTGTTTACAAATAAATTGCTTTTCTTTGAATCTTATCAGGTCTGAGTTTTAAGGTAATTCCTGATATGAGGTAATTCTCCATATGAGTTTTTGATCTTGGTTTTAGCCAAGTACTTCAGGCGGGAGCCCCGAAGCCATTAGCCATTTCTGGGATTAATGACATTTTGGAGGAGAAAATCCAGTCAATATGAACTCAGGTCTTGACAATAGCTAAAAAGTTGAGTGTCCTTACAAATGAGCTCTTTTTTTGATTGTTTTTTTACCCTGAAGATGTAGCATGTCTGATGAAGGTTCACTGCCCAAATTTTGCCTTTGAATATCAGTGCAGGTTTTAAGTAACTGTGGGTCCAGTGGGGCCACGCAGCTCTCTGCTCACCCACTGATAGGAAACTTGTCCACACATCTCATAAGACTTCCAGACTGGCTTCTGCTATCTCCTCTCTCTGTGGGGCTCCCCTTCCTCTCTTTCAACCTCAGACCTCCTCAAAGTAACCAGAATTGTGCTCCAAATGAGTCAGGATTTGAAAACGAGTAGGTTTGGGAGGGGAAAAAAGCACTTCTGCTCACCCGCAAATCTTACTGTACAACTTGGTTTTGATCTTCAGGCTTTAGAACTGAAAACAGGTTACAAAAATTAATCTATTGATCACAAAACCATAATTTTCTAGGAAATACACAGCAGGACCCTTCATAAAAAAAAAAAAAAAAAGAAAAAAAAAGAAAAGAAAAAGAAAAAGAAAGGACAAAAGGAAGCAAAGAGGGGTTACCATCATAGCTCTGAGAGTTTGCACAGATGAGGACCCCATTCTCCAGGAACCAAACCAAGCAGCTATTGGGAATTTGTTCATAGCCTGTGAAAACACAGGAGTAAAAGCTGTCAGGTTTGCACCAGGAAAGAGGGCTGGGCTGGGGAGTGGAGTTTTTCACCCCAAATTCTTACAGTTATTAATGTCCAGCAATTTCCACCACTAAACAACAAAACACACTCCTGGTTTCTTTGAAACACAAGGCTTAGAAACAGAACAGCATTGGAAATGAGAAGTGAGGCAGCAGCAGGGCAGCTCGGTGCACTTAAGGGAACATTTTTAAGCCATTTAGCTGGAGTTTATTGCTCCAGCACTGGAGGCTTTGCTCATTCAAGCACGACAGGGTGTGCATTGTTGTGCCAGAGCTGCCCGCCCTGGGTGTGTGTGGTGTGGGGCAAGGGGCCAAGGGCTGTGTTTAAACGCACCCGCACGAGAAATGCGATTTAGGCAGAACAAAGCACACTCCTGTTGTGCCTCCCCGTGATTATAAAATAGATCTGTGTCATTATAAATAGAAAATGACTGGTGACAAAGATGCTGCTTTGACTCACTTCTGAGGCCAAGCTCCTTCGCTGCGGTTCCTGATGTCAGACCAATTTAGCGGCTGCGCTGCAGGCGAATGTGTCTGGTTTGGGGTTAGCCAGTCCACATCTCATGATGGCTTAATCTCGTTTTAAAACAGCGGGGGATTCACTGGGGCCCTTTGCAAGCATCACGCCCTCACCCAAGGACGGCTCTGAACGCCTTCAAAACGCGCTGTGCCCACTGCAAGGCTCGGATTGCTGCACAGCAAATTACCTTGCCCTCCAAGGGACTGCCAAACTTTCGGGTCTGTGAAGTTGAGATCCTGCTTCCACACAACTAATGGTGTGGTTCTTGTTTATTCCAGTGGGAACCAAATCAAAGACACAGAAATAATAGTGCCCTTTCAAAAGTGTAAGTTTTCCTCTTTATGCCGCTTGATAGCCCGACAAGCTTCACAGCATTATTGAATTAAATAATGTAGATAAATACTCTGAATGTATATGTATATGTATATATAGTTTTTATATTGTAGAATAGGTAATTTAAAAAAAACAAAAACAAAAAACCAACACAGACCCCAAAAACCCAAACCAGAAACTAGAGCTGAAGACCCTGTTGCAGTATCTGGAATATTCTGTTCATTTATTCTGAAGCATGTTCCTTAAAACAAGCTGCAATCTTTCTGCTTCAATAATTTAATCAGAATCCCACTTGTATTTTACACCATGGTTTACTCACAAAGCTGGGGATAACCTCTCATTTCCTGAAAGCACTTAAAAACTTTCTTAATGAAAGAGTAGAGAAATCTGCTGTTTGCAAATTCTACTTACTTATTGCTTATTTCCAAATGAAAGTAGTTAATTTAATGAAGGAGGGGGAAAAAAAGGAGTGAAAAAGAAAAAGACTAATTTGGTGCCCGTAGCCATTTCCCAAATTCTTCAGAGTTTATAGATCTAGAGAGACAAGGAAAGAGCAACTTCTCAGCAGTGCAGCAGAATAGGCTAAAATGACCCTGTGAAACCCAAGCAATTCTGGGAATTAAAGGATGTTCACTCCTGTTATGGTTTTACACTGCAAACTGCTTTTAGGGCTCCCAGTAGTACCCATTAGCAATAGCCAAGCTTTTCTGTTTTAATTTAATTTAATTTAATTTCCACCAACAAATTCCACCCTGTGGTGAGAATTGACAGTATCATGTTGAGAACCATTAAAGCATATTTAGATTGTTTTTACTCCATGTATACATAAAAAAAAAATCAATTCCCCCACCCTTCTTAGTTTTCTTTAGACAAGCCACTTCATAATAAGAGTGAGGCAGACACAATGAAGGCATCGTTGTGCTGTGAGATACCAGCACAGGGAGTGTGGCTGGAGATAGAGTGGAACATGCCTTGGCATTGCACTGCCTGGTCCCTGCTCCACTCTGAACCCCCATGGGACCAGAACAGAGCCTGGCAGCGCTGCTCGTGTCCCTGCAGTTACCACCTGGTGTCCTTCTTCTGCACTAAGAACCTTTATAGCACCGCTGCCTCCTTTTCTCCCTGAGTGCTCTCTGTTCTCCCTGCACTGGAAACATCTTCGTGCTTGTGCCACCTTTGGCTTTACTGGGAATTCCTATTGGGAATTCCCCCACTGGGAATTCTGCCACCAGATTTCAAAGGAAAGAGAATAATAATTCCCTTCATTAATATAGGCTTTTCTGTCATGGCTTTTAGGCTCCTCTCCAGGCAGGCAGGCAGGCAAGCAAGCACATGTTTAACATTAAACACATCAGTAGTCCCTATTCACATGTGCAAGCTAGAAATGCTCATTAGCGCTGGATCATGGCTCCAGCTGAGCTCTAACACCTCAGCCAGGGAGCCAGGCAGGAGGAAAGGTGGCCCTCAAACCTTTCATCATGGTTGCACCATCACTGGTGCAGCAGTTTCGGCTCCTCCAGCATGTGGTGGGTCCCCTTGGCAGCAGAGGCTCGACCCGCTGAGCTGTGACAATGCCACCATTCAGAGCTGCTTAGCTGATGAGCACAGCTCAAATACACCACATTCAAACACATCCTTGGGAGTGTTTTCAGGATTAGCATCTCTCCAGTGCATGGTGACAGGCAATGATTTGGGGCAACAGGGGAATAAGATGTTTGCTGTGGTGGTCTCTGAGAGGCTGCTGAGTCCTGTGTGGGGAGCTCCTGAGGGCTTACACGGAGTTCTTCGGGCTTTTATGTCATGTGTTGAAAAAATGGACATATCAAGCTTTGGAAAAGAGCATTGGATGGGGTTTCTGGGCCTTTCTGGGGCTGAGTGTTGTTTGGAATGTGGGACAAGGAAATAAAGCAGCTTAATGCTCTCCGCGCTCCCTACACATGAGCTGGAAGAAAAGGGAACAGGACTCCTCTTTTCACTGCTGAGCACTGAGTGGGCTGTTGTAGTTCAGTGTCCAAACCAGCACAGCCCTCCTGAAAGCAGGAAATGGGAAATTTGTGACTCAGAGGGTACATGTCTACTACCTGAGAGAAACCCCTAGGAAAAGCTACTTTCAACATGCTGCCTTGCTGTATATGCTGAAATTCACAGTCCAGACTAAACAGCCTATCACTCTTGGTTAAAGTATCCCAGATGAAAAGACACAATTTTTAAAATTATTTTAATGCTGTTTTCTCAAAAAAAAAAAAAAAAAAATCAAATCATTACCTCCTTCAACTTCTCAACAAGTATAAACCTCACAGCTTTCCTGCCTCCTCTGGAATTACTAAGTCATTGCAGACATCAAAATTAATGAAGATATGAAAGATTCAGCAGAGAGGCAAAATCTTACTGGAAAAATGTTTCTTAATATCAAAAACAATTCAAGAATAATGAATATATTTAGAAAATTTATAAACAAAGGCAAATTTCCTGATGCTTAAAAGAATACATGTGAAGGAGGACACAAGACTTAGGGGGTATTTTTTCTTTAAAATACCAATTAATTTTTTAAAAAAATAATGTTTCCATGTGCTTCTGGTTTCACAGAAGTGTGGCTTCCACTGTCTAAATTTTTGCAGTACTTTCAACTCAGCTTATTAGCCGAACTCAGATGATGCAGATAGGGGCCTTCATCCCATCAGATGGAAGGGCTACACTAAAACAGTCTCCCCTGTGCCCATCCACAAGGATCCTGCTACTTATCACTGAGGAAATGGTTATGGCTAACTTGGAGCTGACAAGAGAGGGAGAAAGGTGTTTAGGAGTTAACATAAAATAAATATATATTTAAAATTAATGCTATGTGCAATTCAGCTGAACTTTCTTGTAGGAAACAAAGTTGTCCATTTTCTTTGTGCTGTAGACTGTCATTCTCCCTAGCAGTGCCTTTTCACCTGCAGCAACCAGAGGAGTAGCCTGTTGTTCTATATTCCACACTAGATCTAATAAAGCAGTATCATTATGTGATATCTATAGGAAAAAATGTTTCTCAGAAAGCCTGGTTTGAATAGACTTTAAACAGATATTCTTTAGTCCTACCTGTGCTGTAAAATGACCTCTTGGCAATTCAAACAGTTCTAACAGAGAATAAGGGGAACTAACCTATGGGAACCTCAAAAACTCCCATACCACTGCTAATAGAAGAAAAATCAATATTCGTTCCAATATGAATGAAGTGCTGGATTGACTGAGCAGGGAGCTTTGAAATATATATCTAAGAAATGTTTGGATGAAATGGACATCTTCACAGACATTTGGTCTGCATTTCTGAAATGTAGATTATTAAATCCACATTGTTGGCTTCTTCCCTCTCTGCACTATGTCTTTCTTTACATCTTGCAAAAAAATTTATGAACAAAGTTATTATAAATCTGCAATGTCTGTCTTGTCACTTAGATTCTTTTCATAAAAGCTGCCTTGCCAATGTAGATATACAATCCTGTATGATTAATATTTACTACTTATAATTCTAAATACAATGGAAGGTCACCAAAAATATTCTGCCTAAAAGAGTCTGGAGCCCTTTAGAATCTCGTTGGTGATGGATCCTGAGCCTTGAGAACTGAGCTCAAAATCTTAGCAAAACACTTCTCTATGTAGGATTTCCAGTATTGCCTGCTTCTGGCAATGGATAAAGCCAAGAAGCACAAAGGTGAGTGAAAGTTACAGATCTGAAAACATGAGCTTGGATCTCAAACCCAAACAAAGGTCAGGGAATGCCTGAACCTGTCCATGATCTTGGATCAGCCTATAATGGAGTTATGAGTAAAATGCAAAGTTAGGATGCAGAGTGAGACTTGAATTCAGACAGAATCAGCACTATAGCTGAAAGCTGATCCATTTTCCTCTAATTTCTCATATCCATCATTATATTTTATCTAGATATTTTAGAGTACTGTATGAAAAATGAAGATATTTAAGGAAATATTGTTGCAATTAATTGAAAGGAAATTAGCCTGGGGACTTTTAGATTTTGTTATGAAATCTTAAGAAGATTTTAAGAACATGAAAATCATCTTAGAAAAAGCTCATTGCATTTATAGATAATTTTCTTTTTGATATAAGCCAAATCATTTTTAAACATAATATTTTTAAAACAGATGCAATTTTAGGTCATAGAAATCAGCTGATAGTGATTTGTCCCTCTTCTATGAAAAATAGAGACAAATATATAAGAGAATTTAAGAACTATGAGATTCAGCAAAATGGTGACGATTTTGAGATGGAAATCAGGGCAGACCCTGGTTCACCTGAGATCTGCTGCATGTTTGGACAGCCTTCTTTTAGGACATAAATAATATGTCCTAAATATATAAAAGAGCAATAATCTGCATCTGCTTCTGTGTCTTTTATTCAAATGCAGCAACTGTGACTAAGGAAAGCAACTGACTGAAGTGCAAGCCTGGGAATAGGCAACTGAGAAAAATGTAGTTTCTGTTGATTGACAGGATCATACTGAGAATAAAAAATCCCCAGGACCATTGATCAGATAGAAGAATTTTCTCTAGGAACAAACTTGGAGAGCTTTGCTAATAACACTCTTCTAAACTGACCGACCTATCCTGACCCAAGTGTTGAGTGTACACAAATACCAGAAAGACAGAAAGAAAGGATTGAGTCAATTAAGATAAATAAATAAATAAATAATTGGCAGATTTCTTAAAAAGGAAAAAAAAAAAAGAAAATAATATCACAATAATTCCAATCTCATGAAGAAATGTTTTTAACAAGCCACATGTGCTTGTGCAGATACTTCTAATCTCATCAGATTTTTCTGGCTGCTATTAGTGCTCTCTGAGCCAGCTGATTTCTCAGCAATATTTTAAAGAGTGCAAGCCTTTGCCCTCCAGTCTAGCCACTGCTAAAATAGCTCATTCTAGGAGAAGACTTGGGAGTTCATGGATTTTCTTCCAAGGTTTTGAAAGTTCAGAACAAATTGACCATTGCATGTGAAACAATAGTCAACCACAAACTCCCTTCAGTCAATGAGCAACATTCTGCTCCCAGCTGGATTAGTGTGAAAAGTGGAATTAACCCACTAAAGCAAAAGGATGGTCTCAGATTGTCATCAGCATCATGTGGCAGAGCCTGGCTTTTGATGTTGTTCCACTTTTGCAGCTCTCTGGCTGCAAACAAGTCTGCTGTGAGGTTCCCCTTGGTCACAGCTTACCAGCTTGGGGTTCCCCTCAAACCAGTGCAGCTTTAGCAGCTCTGATCAGAAGGGGAGCCACATCAGGATACAGCTCAGCTTTATTTTATCTTTTAAAACAGCAATAAATCCCCCCACAAACTGAAACCCGCAAGCCATGTGCTCTCCTGTGCATACTGGGGCACATGAGTTTCAAGTGAAAGAGCTGCCATTCTGAATTTGCTGAAGAAACGTGCAAATAATCACCAGTGTAAAGTAGATGTGCCAAGCAGGCCCTGCAGACAGAGCAAAATAATCACGTTTAGGGAAAAAAAGCCTAATTCAGAATTGTGGAACCTGGATGGGTAAAGCCTGGATGAGCAGGATTGAGGCGTCATGCATGGATTTCTGCTAGAAAACACTTGCTGAATTCCTGTCTGGAAATGTGCCTCTCACTGTGCCAGCCTGCCCTCTTTGAGGCTCTCCCAGCAAACTCCTCCTGGGGTGAGATGATGAGCACTTGAAAGTGACCCATCTGGAGCCCAAGGCGAAGAAAGCGCTTCCCCTGCCTGGAATCCATGTGCAGCGACAGCTTCCCACTGCTGATCCAAGTTTCCCAAGATAGCAATTATAAAGGAACTGGCAACCTTACAGTCAAGACGACAATATCCTACGTGGTTTGGTTTGCTGTGCCAATTCCCTCTGTGGGTGCTGGAGTCAATCTGCTGCCCCTGTTACTGCTGTCTGTCTGTCTCTACCAACCAGCAGATCCACTGGCACAGTTTTGGCACAGGCCCTGCTCTTCCAAGGGCTGTCTGCTCAATTGCTCTTTCACTCTCTTTTGCTTAAAACATTCGGATCCAACAACACCATGCAAATTTTATGCAGAGTAGCATCTGCAAGTCTGACATATTCACTCAGGCTTCCCCCTCTTGCGCCAAGTTAAAAATAAATACCCTATAAACTCCCAGGCCTGCTAAGACAGAAGATGCTTTCAGAGAGTTTATTTAAATATAACTGCTAAGAGCACTTCTGCTTTAGGGTCAAACTCCTATTTTTCCCCTCTCTCTCTCTTCTATTTTGTTCATGCCTCAAGGATCTTAATAGAACTGAGGGAAAAAGCGTCCTTGAAATAACCTAGAGAGGAACCTGTGTATTCCTAACTCTCTCACCTGAAATTTCAGCTATTTTTAAAACTCTAAAGAATACAGGTCATGATGTACCCCCAACAACAGAACAAGAAACTAGTCAAGTGGACTCATTTCCAATACTGATTGCAAATAATACTAGTTGAGCCAGATCTTGGGTTAGACCTCAAAGGGTATCCACCCCCCACCCCCCACTACAGCTGCCTTCTCTTTTCTCCAGGGAGAGGCAGATTTGTCCCTGCCCAATACACTTGGAACAGGTGAAGTCATAAAGATGCCAACCAGACAGTATAAGGATAAAGTACATCTTAAGGCAACAAGGAGCAGAGTCTGTGAAAGGGGATACTGAGCCATGGCTGGGGGCAGTTACGACTTGCTGAGCCTCTTGGCCACATCTGCGTAGGCTTGCTCGATTTCTTTGTCTGCTGCACAGGTGTTGGTGAACTCATCCCTCGTGTACGCGTTCTTCAGGTACCGCCACAGCCCCGTCATCTCCGCTGGGAACTCGAAGTTGCGGTATTTCTTTGCAACGATCTAAAGCAAAGATAAACCACGTGAAAAAAGCATCCCACAGGGGATGTATCTCCTTCTTAGGGAGCTTCTTGCTCTCTTCTGACTATTTGCTATAATTAATAGCAAATGAGAGGAATGTTTGGAGAATCAGGGGTTTATTACAGAAAAGCCTGAGAAGTGACTCCTGGTTGTCCCCTAACTTGCAAGTCTGCTGCTTGGCCTAAGGACACTTTAAAGCTATGAGCTGGCACTGTCACTAAATTTCAACTTTTATGGCACTTGAAGTTCATTTATTTTACTATATTGGGGTTTTGGGGTTTGTTTTTTTTACAAGTCTTCAGCACATCCCTTAAAGCTGAGACACCACATAAGAAGGGGCTGAATCATAAAAAGTGAGACAGATTTAAGAGAAAGGCATTAGTAATTATTATAACATATTTTCATATTAATTATTAAATTTAACTTTATTATATATATATGGTATTATATTTTTAATATATGTAATATATTTTGCCTGGCAAATGGTGTCAGAGGCTGTAACCACCTACAGCAGTTGTAAGGCTCTATCCGTGTTCATGAAAAGGAAAAATTCAGGGTGGTATGGGTACCATGATTAGGAAACCAAGATGATTTAGCATATATTAGAAACAGAAGCATTGGGAAAAACTGAGAGAGAAAATAGTTATTTCAAGACTTGTTAGACTAGGAAATTGTCTATCAAGGCAAATTTTTGATTTCTAAAAACACTCAGGCCCTTATTCAGGAAAATAGTTAAGTGCATACTTAATTTTAAGCACCTGTACTGTCCCATTGAAGTCAATGGGATTAATCTGTACTTAAAGCTAGTTAGTTAGTTAAGTACCTTGCTGTATTGGGATATTTCAGTTTCCCTGTAGGAATATACCATATAGAATAAGCCTGTGGTGACAGAGAGAACTATCTGATAGGAAGGGATGGATTAGCTAATTTAATGAGTGCTTCTAATCTCTAATTGTTCTGACAGTATAAAATTGTTCCTGGGCATAAATTACATACATATGTGCCACAGAGTTCCCCTTTATTTTTAAAGCACATGGTAGAGCTGTTTTCCATCTCAGATTTCTTAGGACAGTCATGTTCCCAGAAACGACTGCGATTTGTTTTTATTACCAGGATCCACTTGGTATATGCAAGTCCAAATCCTGTCCTAAACTGCATTTAATTAAGCATTCTTGCCTTCCACGGTGCTTCACACGCATATGGGGAAGATAAAACCTGCTCAGCAACTTAAGTCAACATTTTCAAAATTTCCAGCACACATCTTCCATAAAATGAAAATATAATTTATCCTTTTCTTCTATCTGTTAAATGCTTTTCAGGCAATATGCTATGGCTATGCTTGTCTGAGAAAAAATCTAGTTCTCTTTTTTACATCTTTCATTTCATCCCTAGAAGACAAGAACCAGTGAGGGGCCACACATTTATTTTGCATTGTCTGACTCCAATCTTGGCAATGAAGATGAGCCAGAATAAGCAATAGACCTGTGAGGATATTATCACATTTCTTACCTGGTGACTTATGTGCTTTTTCAATTATTTTTTTTTTTCATTTTGCATGTGTGCAGTCAGCTCCCAGGCTCAGTTTATGTTTTGGCTCACAGAGCCAAATTAGATGCATGACTTGGCTTTAATTCCTAGCTCACTCACTTGCCAAGGTCTGCCAGGTACTTGCGTTACTCTAAAGAAACATGTCATCTGATAAATTAAATAAATGCAACATTTAGAAGTCAAGATGATGTACATGATTTGCACTATACCAGCAACTGTAGTACATCTTAAATCCTGGACCTCTGCAATGATTATGATTTGTTAAATTCTCTGTGTGAAATACCAGATGGAATAAATATTCCCCCAAAGAGATGGATTGCTGCTCTTAACTTACAAATGGGTGGGAACTGACTAACGTTTTGACATGTTTCTTAAGGGCGTTAGGAACTAATTAATACAAAAAAAACTGCTGCTACTTGCAGCAGGGTAAAAATAAGGAGACAAGGCACCTAGAATTTAGTACTGTCTTCACCAGTAAGAAGTGATGGGATAGTTTTCCCATGAACTAGGTATAAAGTTCCTTTTTTTAACCTATAGGAAACACTGATGAGCAGAAGTGAATTTCAAGCTGCTCTTCTAGGCCTTAAGAACTCTCTGTTGAAATGCATGTTGGCTTTGGAGCTCAGCTGTCAGAGCAAGGCTTCTTTGACCATCTCATGTCATCTTTTACCTTGACAACATGAAGTTTGGGCAGAAGGTTGCAGTCAGCAAGTGTCAGGTCATCTCCATCCAGAAACTTGCGTTTAGACACTTTCTCCTCTTCAGTGCTGTCTGCATCAATCTCCTCTGGCAGGGGAGTTCTCAGGTAGTCATCCAGCTTCTTCAGAGCCTTCACCAAGCCCCTTTCAAGTGCTTTGCCAAAAAAAGGTAAAGAATAAGTGATTAGAGCAGGATAAGAATTGTTTATAAATGCTCATTGTCTATGGCTACAGTAGTGTCTAGGAAAAAAGCCAAGAACCAATTTCTTTGTTAATTTGTGCTCCAAAGCCAACACAATTCAATGGCAAAGTAGCCCAGCAAAGTACATCTGCCTGAGGATAAAGCTCATCCTGCAGTGGGAAAAGAAATACAGGGACCTTGCTGTACCATATCTTCTCCTGACAAAAAACAAAAAGCAGTGGAAGAGATCACAGAAGGAAAAAACAGCTTGTCAAGATGATACACCAAAAAACCACATATTGCCTATGATATTCTTCTTGTGTGTTGAAAGCCATTGCACAGGAACTGGAACCCTGTACACCACTCCTTCATTTTTCTAACCAGCCACATTGGACTGCAATGAAACAGAATTTTCTAGCATTGCTTCAGCCCAATCAAGTCTTAGTTTTGCTTCTTTCAACACCCTTGCAGAGTAATTAAAGGCAATAGCAATAATTCCAAAGATGCTAACCAGAGCTCCACAGAGCTGAAAGATATGCTACAAATGAGACGAGATATTAGCCAGTGTTAAAAATTCCCATTTAATTCAGGTTCAGCTTGGGTGCAAATGCTCTTTTTGAGAGATCTCAAATAGTCTCACAACAGAGGGGACTCCAGACCTCTTAGCTCAGTTACTGAGGATCGTGTCCCACACTGCTGCTGGCTCCAACAAATTCCAGTCTTCAAATGCCACCTAGACCTCTACCGCAGAGTGCAAACTATGCAACCCAGGCAACAAATTTGTGTTCTGATGCTTCACTGCCAGGACAACAGAAAAGCTTTCTGGCAAAAACGCACTTACAAAAAGCTGAATAACGGTGCAGTTTTGTGCGTTACTTAAACTGCAAACACTCGGGGAAAAGAAGGGTCTTTCGTGTTTCTGTTTGAAGGGTGGAAAGCATGATGGAGTCCTGGTCCCCCACAAGTGCCCCAAAGTGCTAAAGCAACATAAATAAGAAACAGCAAGAATTTACAATGTGAAAAATAACAACATGACTCATGGGCTTAAGGCCAGAATTTCAGCTGGTGAAAATTACCTGCAGTGATTTATACCTGCAGCAGATGTGGCCTGGAGTCAGTATTAATGGCCTAATACTGTAAAATCTTATATCTCTGAGTAACTTACTGCCACTGAACTTAGGGGTGAATTACTCAGGTGGTATAGCACTACAAGGCCTATGGAGATAAAGTGCAAGGACCAATGGGTTCAAATTGAAACAAGCAAAATTTGGCTAATCATGTGCAATAAATTCTTTACTGTGAAACAGTGAGGCACTGGAACAGGTTTCCCAGAGAAGCTGCAGCCCCATCCCTGCCAGTGTTCAAGGCCAGGGCTTGGAGCAACCTGGGATCGTGGGAAGTGTCCATGGCAGGGGGTTTGCAACTAGATGGTCTTTAAGGTCTTTTCCAATCCAAACCATTCTATGATTCTGTGGTTCCAAAGATATTTGTGGACCACAACAGGTGCTCAAAAGGGCTGCAGCAATCACCCTTCACAGAGAGCCTTGCTGGCACACGTAACTCCACAGGCTCTGTTGTCAGCTGCCCCTGTGCTTTTGGCACAGGGAGAAAGGCAGCACGTCCAGGGCCACTGAGAGAGCAGGAGCTGAACACCACAGAACATGATTTCTCTGCTGCCCTAACATCCATTAAACCTGTGCCAGCAGTGGAAGTCAGATTGAGCTGCTTGATGCCTTGCTCCCACTGAAGTCTCTTGGCCCAGCACCAGGGAACCACACCAGCTCTTTTGTGGCTGATTTTGAGACACAGTGGCAAACCCTGGCTTAATTGATTGACTGGAGAAATGACTGTGATCCAACTGAAAACACCCCCACAAACATAGCGGGGAGGGAAGGAATTTTATTTCTGAAAGCAGAGCATCTAAAATGACTGAAGTGCTGCCATCCATAAAACAAAAGTGTTGCCATCCCTCATTTAATCAATTCAAATTGAATTTTGACACTGACATTCTGCTGTCAGATGCTGGCAGTGGTGCCTTTAATCGCCTGCAGCTGTCGTTTGCCTCAACTTCCACAGGAGGGTAGGAACTGTGGAGTGTGGCAGCACTCAAAGGATTTAGCAATCTCTTTTTGGTTTGACCCATAACACCTGTCGAATAGACAATTCTGCTTCTCTTGGTCAGCCTCAGACTGTGCTCAGTGTATTTTGCAGAGCCAACAGACTTGAATTATTGTGATTTCATTCAATTTTGCACATCTGGGTTTTAGAGAAATGGCTCAACACTGACCACTTTCAGTATTCCCTTCACTCAGTGGGATTGTTGGTTCTCCAAGTCATCTGAGCAATATTCCAGTGTCAGGAGGATGTTTGATGCTTTGTGCTAGTCCATGGGATCAGCCAGGTGCATGCCTAGAGACAGCAGCAGCAGGTGAGGTGTGTTTACGTAACTTTTCTGGAACTTATTAGGTTTTGGGGTTTTTTTTCCTCTCATTGCTCTATCAAAGTGCGTCATGGCTGTCCCAAAAACAATGCCTGGAGTGAAGCCTGTTTATGACAGCAAAAAAACAACTATCTGAATTCATGCTTGGCACTTGCATACAGCAGCTTTAGGCCAAAAATAAGCGTATGTTCAGGGTTCAATACATCTGTGACCCAATTCACAGGCTCTGCTGGAGCCCACAGGATGCTGACATCTCACAGTGAAATCACCACACAGTCAGGATCATCTTATATCCTGATAGGCAAGAACTGAACAGCTATTCATGACACCAATGACCCCATTTTTTTAATCAAAACTCTTCTTAGTAAACTAGATCTTAGATTCCAGTAAACTTCTCAGAACAGCCTGGAAAACAGAAAAATAGGGAATAAGAGAGAACTGCTCTCCTTCCAATTAAATAGTGAAAAAATTTAGAAAAACTAAGAGAATTAACATTCCCAAATTGCCACATTAAATGGATTTTAGGTGCACAATGTCAGATTTTTAAAGCCTGTCAATGGTTTCCAAGACATTTTTTGAAATCCATATGCAAATATCCATGTTGCAAATCCTTCTTTCTAGGTGCCCTAACACACTCAGATTAATCTGTATGATTTGAAATCTTATGTTCCTTGAGAAGGTACTCAGGGAAATCCCCACGCAAAGTAAGAGGATGTGTAAAAGAATCTAATTTTCTCTCTTACTAGTAGATATTTAAGCATTATGTGAAAGACAAAAAATAGAGAATGGAGTCCAGGAAATGACCTCTCCAGAATAGCCTACAGCTCTGAATGTTCTGGGACTCTTCCTGAGGAAAGAACTGTCTGGGTTCATGTTACCAACCAAACTCAGCTTGGATTAATTCCTTAAACTTGGACTTAATTCCAAAATACCTATACTGTGGCTATTTCATGAAAATCTGGATGACTCTACATTTTCTCCACTGAGAACACAGAGGAAAGGATGCACCCACCAAGGCAGGGGCCATGTGAACACCAGTCAGCACCAGACTGGATGAAGACATTTAAAAAGAAGTGAAAATCTACAAGGTTACTAATTCTCCATTTGTGAGAGTACCACCCACAGTGAATTTCAGAAGTGGCTAAGCACCTAATTCCCTTGGCAACTTGTCCTCTGGGAAACATCATTAAATAACTAAACAGGTTTGATGATAACAGCTAATGGGTGGGATTAATCTTCCTTGAAGTGAGTAAAATTAAAAGAATAGGTTTGAACTAAACACCCTGAGAGCTTCCTCGCCATTCAGTGGAGTTTTCTCTTCTACACTTGGTTTTGGTGACCCTTAAATGAGCCATGGGGAGAACTTTTCCTGAAGTTTCGAATCACACCCTTGCAGTGTCTTGGTAATGTCAGGGTGGAGGATTCAATATTACAACACCAAGCAGAGCCAGGCCTGAGTATGTGGCTCTGTGCTGCTTTTGAAATTTCTATCTCCAGCTGCTCCCCTACCCTGCAGACTTTCAGTAGGAACTTAGAGATCCCAAATGTGACCAGCTCTGAGAGAGGAGTCCTGTCATCAGCTGAAATGTCTGAACTCCTAGAAACCATTTTTCTGGGCAGTGGAATCACCAAGCACAAAGGCACCAGCATCATATTGCCTTCACTGCGATATATTTAATATAACCTCGAATTCCAAGAAATTCTAACCATGTATAGACAAAATCCATGGTGAAGCCATCTCTCTCAGCCTTCTCTACTTCATTCTGGGCTACTTATGCAGCCAAAGACAACTTCTAGCAATCAGAATCCTGCCCTGTCATCCCACCAACAGTAAACAATAATATTAATAAAAAAACATCATGAGCTTTTTTTGATTTTTCTTCTGCCTTCAAAACTAGGATTTTAAACAACATCACTTAAGAATTCTGAGTTAGAAGCCAGAAAAATAGCACTTTCCAACCTCAAAGCAACCACAGAACACTTAATGAATGTATTACCCTCTGTCAAATGCACAGGGTGAGGTTCAATTTAGCTGATGACACCTAATTCACAATGATGTTCTGTTTTCAGCAGAAGGTTACTTGATGTTGAACAATGAGATTAACAAATTCTGACATGCACAGAAATACAAATAATGTAACAGAAGTTAATAATTGGCAAAACTGTGCTCTCAGTTACACTGACATAAAAGAGGAGTAACTCTGCATTGTCAACAAGCTATTCCATATTTACTCCAGTTCAACCAAGAACAGACTGGCTCTGTTCCTCAGCTCTTCAAGCAAAAACTTCCTTAAACTATTGCCTGTGCAACTATTTCCAGGGGATGGAGAGAAGCCCTTGTGCCTTGGAGTACTTATACAATATCTGAACAAAACATTGGAAAATGTAATGCATGGAGCAATCCTGCAAGTCAAGCAGAGGGCCAGATGACAAAGATTCATTAATAGGTACTCAGGGTGAAATTTTGGCCATCCTGAAGCTCATGAAAGTTTTGCTGTTGACTTCAGTGGGATTAGGATTTCTCCAGAAGCTT